TCGAGTCGTGAGAGAAGGCTACTGAGTTGACCCACGCGCTATGGCCCTCGAGTGTCTGGAGGCACGAGCTCCATTTCTCCATAGCCGGCTTTATTGTGATCCAATCCGGCTCTTCTCTCTTAAAAAGACCTCTTATCAGACTGCAAGTTGGGCTGAATAGGAGTGCGGAACCATATGCTTGAAGAGGGCTCTTCTCTATTGCCCACTTGTGAGACATGGCAAATCGACGCGCATCCCGCACGAGTTCGATCAGTGCGTGTGAACCTATTCTTCCCTAGCTTGTATTAGCAGATAACATAGATAGATATAATCGCTAATCTCAGTTTACCTCTACTATGGTCTCAAGTCTCGTCATCGCAACTACACCTTGCGGCATGCTCTTACAGAGGCTAAGCGCTTCTAGCCAGTAGAGGAACTTCTTCTCTATAAAGCTGTTAATAGCGCTTCCATCATGTAGACCGCATGCACGACTTTCACAAAGATGATCGACCCAGTAGATGCACGAGTAACGTGACGCTGCTAATGGGTCTGGGTCTGGTTGCTTAGCCTGCTCGGCAGGATACCCTAACTGACGCAAGCTGTACATGTCTTGTCGGAGTGTCTTAGACATAACTTGAAGCGATTTGGAGAAGATGGAATGGTGAACATCCCCAATCCCGCACGGGAAGATGCTATGGCTTGCTTCATCAGATAGAAAGTCTCGAGCTGATTGATGGATGATGTAGACACTGCCTTCTCGTATTGTAAGGAATGAGCCACACATCTTCACAACTTGATTTACGTCCTGCGCCTCGGTAGGCAAGCCGGATAAAAGATGCAACTCTTGCAAGTGTAGCGGACGGTAGGCAGCAATAACAGTGGACAGAACCTGTCGGCAAAGTTCTGGATATTGACGCCGCAACCGTTTGATTTGCTCCATCATCCGATGATATACGTCCTTTAATTCCGTTGGGATTTCATTGAGGACCTGCAGTACCTCCCAGGCCATCACCTCTTTTAGCTCTTTAACGACAAGAGATACCCAGAGAAAAGTTCCCTTAGCTTTTTGCTGCAATTTTTCTCGGACCAACTCTCGGAGGTCATTGTGTTGAATTTCTGGTAATTCCAAAAGGCAATGGTTGATGTACGCATCAACAGCGCGGGACACTTGCGCAGCGTTTTCTTTGAGTTCAAGACTCAGCCTGGTTCCGGAATCGTTAAGCCGTAGTCTCTGCTCAATATGGGCCTCGTTACGGCTGCTGACGATCCACTTAACACGAGAGGATGTAGATGATGTTAGACTAATAAAGTCCAACAGTTTTGGCAAGTCTGTTACGCATTCGTCAAGCGCGTCAACAATTAAGTATAAACTGTTTAAGCTTGGGTCTTGCAGGATGTTTGTAAAAATCTCAGACAAGGCAAACCAGGCATTTGCATCCTCAAAGAGCGCTTTTCCTGCGTGGTCGTGCTTCTTGCGTATATATGAGAGAAGCGATGGCTGCTGATTAACAAGCAAGTACAGCAGACCTCGCAGCACAGCAGTGGCGTTGTTAATCCGCGAATCAGTGGCCTGGCAGAAGAAGTAGGATAGAAGGGCTGTCTTAGCCATTGACTTCTTTAGCTCGTTAATAATGCCGCAAAGCAGCATTGTTTTGCCTTTGCCAGGATCACCCTTAATCCATAGTAGCCGGCTCTGAGAGTTGTTACACCATTTCTGGAAGTCAGGGTTATTAAGGATCCACAGATACAAGGCCTCTAGCAGCCCACCCTTAGTGTCCTCAATACGCGTCTTGTCGTCACAGGGATCTGTCAAGCGTAAGTCTTGGAGGCATTTGTTTACCTTGTCAATCTCCTCCTCAAGCCGTTTAAACGCAGTAGCCGATCCTTCTCCATAGCGAAGAGGCATTTTAACGTCAAAAATACCAAGTAGTGAATACGCTTTATCTTCTTCAACCTTTGTCTGGCGGCATTGTATCCACGAAAATCGCTCTTCGTCGCTGAACCGAGACAAAAGTCCTCCATCAAGCGCTGCATTAGGAATTCCTGTGATTTCGCAGATGTGCTCTTTAAGCGATTGCTTGTCGCCAAGTTTCTTCCGTTCGTGGGAGAAGAATTCAACTGAAACCGGTGCAAGAAGCTCTTGGAGTGTCCAGCCCCGAGTAAACCATCTGCTTTTTTGGAAATCTGATTCCCATGGCTTCTTCAACTTCTTTCTCCTGTTCGACCTGAAGGAAGCTGTGGGCACATCCGATAAATAGACGTAGCATCGAGTCGAGTTGCGGTACCAGCGAAACATAGAGTTGATAGCCTGCGAGAGTTCGACCTTGTTTGCCTTGTTGATGCAACAGGTGTCAATCCAAAAGTATTCCAAGTTATCTAATCCAGCTTGTTCTCCACAGAACCGAATCTTCTCATAGCTAGGCTTATCCTTGCCAGTGCCATTTGTTAGGTCATCGAAGGTGACCTCGTCAGCGTCCACTCCCCATGTGTGTGAAAGTATGGCGTAGGGAGGGATTGCCTCATCGCAAAACTGGGTAAGACTGAAATCGCCAGCGTTGCAGCGCCGCAAAAGACGCATTGTTTCGCATGGAGCCGGACGAGGCAAGTGGTAGGATCAGATTCCAACACGGTAGCCTAACTGAAGAGACAAGCAGGGCCTCTCGCTCGACCGAAGAGGATTTTAGTGCCAGCTATTGAGGTTAGCAAGTATACAGGAAGATAGGGCGCTGCTATACTGAAGAATCGCATCTAAGAGTGAGACAGCGCAAGAGTGCTGAGAGTGAATTCAGCTGTGCCTTGCTACACCTGGGGGTTTGTGAAGAAGTTAGAACGCTTACTCGGATCGGGGTGGGGCACGGCTGGTTGCACAGTTTTAAGTGCGGCGGGTTAACGTGTTTTACCATTCATCCAGCCCCAAAACTCACCAAAAAATGGGGAAAATTGTACCCTAATATCTCGACAACAACATAATAATAAATCCTACCATTTTATAACCAGTTTTCTATGCCTCCTGTAAGACTGCAGTTTAACCTTAAAAGCTATTTATTCCCTAAATCATAAAAAATAGCAATTTAACTAAGTTTCCAGTGGCAGGGTAAGAGTCCAGCCGCGGCGCGCCACTACCGTGTTTTAGCGCGAAATGCACGGCCTCGCGTCGTGCACGGTTCTACGCCAAACTGTCAAAACTTCAACCACCCACGCGGGTGACAAAAAAACCCATACTCATTTCGCGAGCGTTAGCGAGTGAAATCTATAATCAATTCCCTAAGCTGGCTTCTCTGTCGTCGTTCCAGGAAAGGAAATGCCTCGGCTTAAAAAAATTACCGCATTTGGACGTCACCTGACACTAAAATTCGCATAAAATTCGGCATAATGTAGCGCTAAACTAGACTAGGAAGGGGCTAAGCTAAACTAGGGAAACGCTAAGCCTAATAGAGTCTCTGCTGACTAATATGCCTGCAAGAATCTGTTCTCACCAGCTCGCAGCGACATTTCACTACCACGCTACATTATTTTAACCTGCTGCTGCTTGATAATTGCTTAGAATAGCATGCAATACTATATAGTTCAGTGCAGCCTTGCAGCGACATCTAGGCGTTGAGCTGCAGGTGTTACAGAGGGTGCTGCAAGAGATCGCTGAGACCGCGCAGGCTTGACTGCTAGTCATGCAGCCATCAGCTTGCAGCAATAGTTTACTACTGCGCTATATTATTTTAGCGTACATCTGCTTGATAATTGCTTAGAATAGCATGTAATACTATATAGTTTAGTGCAGCCTTGCAGCGACATCTACGTGTCGAGCTGCAGGTTTGCAGAGGGTGCTACAAGAGATCGCAGAGACCGCGCAGGCTCAATTGCTAGTCAGATGACTGTACTTGGCGCTGCCATCCGCTTGCAGTCACATTTCACCACCGCGCTACATTATTTTGACCTGCTCCTGCTTGATAATTGTTTAGAGTAGCATACAATACCATATAGTTTAGTGCAGCCTGGCAGCGACATCTAGGTGTCGAGCTGCAGGTTTGCAGAGGATGCCACAAGAAATCGCGCAGGCTCAACTGCTAGTCACATGACTGTACTTGGTGCTGCCATCCGCTTATAGTGACATTTCACCACCGCGCTACATTATTTTGACCTGCTTCTGCTTGAGAATTGTTTGTAATATCATGCAATACTATATAGTTTAGTATAGCCTTCCACCAACATCTAGTTGTGCAGATGCTGTAAAGATATGCTGTAGAAGTGATTAAAGCAGGATCTAGAAAGAGTCTAGTTACTAGTCTATTACATAAAAGAGTATATATATGTTATTCTACACACAGTTAATATTCTAGCACCTGTACCCTCTTAGGTCAGCGCATAGTCTAGTGATATACAACTTAACTGTAACAGAGTTGCTAGAATATTATCTAAGCAGTGCAAGTTTAATTCTTAGAGATTGCATTCTTTTACTTTTTTAAAAAAAGTTTAGTATCTAGTCTATATATAAAGGTTTCCTTTTTAGAATTTTATATAGAGTGTTTCTATCCTCTTATTAGAATTAAAGTGTAAGACAGGGTAAGAGTATAAGAGACTAGTGTTTAGTTGTTAGCTAAGAATTAGCTAGTAGCCTTAGAAAGAGTAAGCAAACTATTGTATAGTATAGTAAAATGCAGTAACTTGCAGTAAATTACAGCAACTTCTAGTAGATTATAAGCTTATATACTGCTGCTAATAGTATAAATAGTTTCTTTTAATCTATGCCTTTAATACTTTAAAGGTTAACTTAATAAGATTATAGTTAAGTAAGTATAGTAAAAAAAAACAAATAACATAGCTAGCAGCTTTAAAGATAGTTGTAACAGCTTTATTCTAATAAATTAAGATATTATTAAGGACTATAACTATAGGCTAGGTCTTGTAGGTTGCTTAAAGTAAAAAAAAAAAGTGCTGCTTAATCTAATTAATAAACTCTTTATAATTAAAATATCTTTTTTTTATCTTTATACAAGGCAGGTATCTGTTTACTGTATAGGCTAAAAGAATAGCCTATGTCTTCCTGCGCCTTATATCCTAAGTGTAAAGATGGGATGGTAAGTAGCACGGATAGCACTGAGAGCAAGCTTTCGGAGAAAGATAGGAGTGTATTGTAAGAGAGACGAATCGCTGCCAAGCTTCGCTTGTCAGGATTCATGCTTATATACGAAGCACAGGTCATACGACCTCCAAACAGGTCAGGTGAGGCCATACTGGCCCGTTCTGGGACATCCGGCCTTACACTTGTCAGATATGCGCACCTACTGTCAAGACAGGAGGAACGTTTGACGAAAGCTGCTACATAGTACGAGCAATAAGCTCGAACAGTATGTTGCTGCAAATTGCAGCATTTTGCAGCATTTTGCAGCATTTTGCAGCATGTTGCAGCAAATTGCAGCATTTTGCAGCATGTTACAGCATTTTGCAGCAAATTGCAGCATGTTGCAAGCTGGTCGCGCATAGGGCTAGTGCGCGAGGGACTCGGATCGGCAGAACAAAAAGCTGAGCAACACGAGTAGAGCAGAAAAAGGATCAATAAATTAAGACAATTAATACAATTAATTAATCATCCTATACATTATATCCAAACCTATCATTTATCTTAGGAAGCCTAGAAACAGTGCTTTAATCTAACAATTAAGAGTCTCAGTGCCTCCATTAATACAAAATGGCCACCCAGCCTCCTTGAGACGCGACAGTCGTCCTTCGAGACCACACCGACTACAGAGCCTGGATGATGCAGCTGCAATCGAGATGTGTAGCGCACGGCATCTGGCCGCAAGTGGATCCTAAGTTGACCATCCAAATGATCTCCAAACTAAGAGCTCTAGAGATGCCGCTAATAGCTGAGTTTTTACTAGCCTCTAATGTTAAAACGCCTACGCACCTGAACAAGCTATTAATAAGCGGTGTTAGAGCCTTTAAAGAAGCTATTAAATACTATAAGATTAAGGCTAACAAGTATAAGAGTAACAGACATAATTATAAAAGAGAGTAATTAAGCTTTTAATAGATTATTGTCTTTATCTAGTTAACAGTTAGCCTGCATCTGCAGCGTACATGCTGTTCTCTAGATTAACTACTTAGACAGTAGATTATAAACCTTAAAGCTATAGTAGGTGTTAACAACTAATTTAAACAAGAACATGTGTGTAACTAATATAATGCATCCCTAAAGCTGCTAAGAAACGCAAGCATATAGAACCTGTAGCTAGCAGAGTATAATTACGCTGCCACAGAAGCAGAGACACAAAATGTTCTAGAAACAACGCAGTTTAATGCTATAGTAAAGGACTTTCTAACTACTATAAATAAAGTTGCCCCTTATTAGTCTATAACTTTTTAGAAAAGCAGACAGTTTACACTAAACATAAATTAAAAAGAAATAATAAAGCGCTTTTAAAAACATATAATGTTAAATTATCTAATACATATAAAAAAGCATAAAGCTGCTTTTATAATAAATAACTTATTATACTTTACTAAAAGTAGAAAGACTACTTAGGGCATAAATAGAGACGCCTATAGTGCAAAAGTTATAACATTAAGAAAATAAAGTAGACCTTAACATTAATATTATTAAGAAGATAATAGAAAGTTATCTTTAAGCTAAAAACCTACTAAAATAAGAGGCACTAAATGTCCTGCATGCAGACACATCTATGCACTAAAGGACTGCTTTTATGTTTATCTAGACAGAGCACTAGACTAGTAGATGCTAAATAAGAGAGTTAAAAAGCTTATAGCATTAAAGCATAAGCATAACTTAGAATTTTAAGGCCTACTAAAAGAGTAGTGTAGATATAATTTAAAGATACTAATCTTAAAGAGTTTACATACACCTATACTAAAGATATAAAAAGACTAACTTAAAAGCTAGAAAGTATTAAGAGTTAAGGCAGCTACATTACTAGCTATAGTTAATTTAAACTAGAACAGATATCTGCTAAGAGAATTATTTATTCTTAACTTAGGCTTAATATGCTATATTATAAATAATTTTAATTAGATCTATAACTATTATTTACTAACACTAGAAGACTTTATCTAGTCTAGAAACTCTTACATATAGATTTAAAGCTACAGATTAATTACACTAAGCTTAAAAAGTAAGCATAGAACACATAGTTAAGCATACAGTCTTATACTTTATAACACTGCACTGTGCCTAGACTTGCTGTGCAACCTAGTCTTGTTCTGCCTACTGCAATAGAAAGGAATCTAGTAGGACACATAAGCAGAGCTAACTGCTTTAAAGGCCTTAAACAGGATAATAATTAAAGATCTTATAAAGATCTATAGCTAATAGGTGTTAGAGTACTATCTACTACAAAAGGGCTTATATTATACACACATAATTAACATAAGAACTAAACATAGTCTATAAAAGGCATTAGTAGAGCTATAGCATAAGCGTTTAGAACACCCTAGACTAGCTACACTTTAACACCTTATATAGTAAGCTAAGGGGGTGTAAATTAAAGAAATTATAACAGTCTAATGTAACTTATATAGCAGAGCTAAGATATAATAATAAATTAGCTATGCACTGCAAATTAGTAACAGTAGACCTAGTAAAAGACTGTTAATTAATTTCTATGCATACAAAGCATAGAGCATTATAAAAAAGTAGAGTTAAATACTAATTACTAATAAGTATTTTAGCCTCTAGTAGGACCTTTACTTTAAGAATAATAAGTCTGCTAAATTAATTATTAAAGCTTTTATAATTTTTATCCTCTTTTTAAAGAACTATTATAACATTACTATAAAAGTTATTAAAGCTAATAATAAGATTATAAC